ACTTCTAAACCTTATTCTATTGGAAAATCGATGCAAAAATCACATATGCTCTTGACATCGTCGGTCTATTGCACTGCCACCACCCACCATATCTTTGGATTCCCGAGGAATTGCTCATCACTTTCCCTTTTATGCCCTAACCTGCCAGAAAACCCACACACAAAAAAATTCACCAGACACTTAAATTTTGATGCATGTTTGATTTTGCATCAACAAACAACCCAAGATTTAATTTCTGTACAACTATTTACAAATAAAAAACACTGAAAACTTTGATTCTGAACCTTAGAGCTTGAAATCCGATTTTGTTTCAGAACCTTGTCTTGTTGGGTGTGTAATCGTCGAAAATACAGAGGGGTAGAGATGTCCAACATGATTGGAGAAGTAGGACAACGGGTGGAGAAGAAGGGTTGTTGACGATGGAGTTCCTGGAGGGATTTTAATGGGATTGGCTAGAAAAGGGTAATACTGGTAGTGTAGGAGGTAATAAGGAAGAATAGAAGGATGAGTGGGACCCGCATTTAATAAATAAATTCAACTAATACATTACATATAAACGTGAATGAAGAAATATATAAAAGGATTGTGGTCCAATTGGTTAAAATCTTGGTTTTAGAGAGGGAGGTTACATGTTCGATTCCCCCTCATACATTTTTCCTCCAATTGGTTAAAATCTTGTGCCATGCCACGTCAGCCTTGCCACATCACCCCAACAGTCCATTTGGCGTACACCTCAACAGGTAACTTGCTGAAAAGGTAAAAGAGGGCTAAAGTGATTATAATAGCCGGTTTCCTGTCCTTTTTCATTAATGAAATTTAATTTAGGACTAGATCATAAACTGACCCAAAATTTTGGGACTTTTTCGCAGATTTCCCTATTTTTAATTAACAAATTTGTTTCTTTAAAAGATTTGTTATGAAATCATAAGCTACAAAAATTATACAAAAATATTTATAATCACATTGTAAATGTTATTTGGGTTATTCGGGTTATACAATCATAATACGGTTTATCCGGTTCTTTTCGGTTGTAATAGGTTCTTAATCATCTTGTACATGTTATTTGGGTTATTCGGGTCGGAATCGAACCGAACCAAATAATACCCGAACCGAACCGAACCCGTATTGCTTATTTGGTTCGGTTTTCGGTTCATACAATTACCCTTATTCGGTTCTCGGGTTATTCGGGTTCGGGTCGGGTCGGTTCGGTTCCGGCCCGAATAACATCCCTAATATGAGCAGAGAGATGACATCTTATATGGATTGATGGTGGCTGACATGGAATGTTATCCACTCACGTTGGTGACTCAAATGATATAAAATAAGTTTTGACTTATAACTAAATCGAAAATAGCAGAAAAATCTTGATGGATTTTTTTTAAGATTTTGCTTTAAAACAAATTTTTTGCCGTTAAAGTCGGTTTTTACTTAGTTGTCGGTTGACTTGACAAGACATGGGAATGCTGATGGGGATTTCCGGTGGCACACATCGCCTAAAATAAAAAACAATGTTGTGAAGACATACAAAGGTAATCCTTCACATATAAAACTTTTTTTCATAGCTCAAAAAGATAATTACTGATACGATAGTTAATGACACGGTTAGATAGCTTTAAAGAGTAATAAGAATAAATATTTATCTTACAACACTAGCAACTCGCAACCTTTATGTTATGTGCTTTAACTATTTAAGATGTTATTTGTTTTAACTATAATAAATATATCAATAACAATTTAAACTTTTGAAGCTCAATTAAAAATAGTATTTCTCAAGTTCTCAAGGAAAAAGGTTTGAACAGTAAAAGAAAAAAAAATTAAAAAAATGCTCACCTTTTATTTTTGAGCTCGAACTGTTAAATGAATAAATCAGTAACAATTCAAAGCTAAGGTGTTGTTTGTTTTTTGAAGCTCAATTAAAAATAGCATTTCTCAAGCTCTCAAGTAAAAAGGTTTGAGCAGTAACAGAAAAAAAATTGAAAAAATGCTCACCTTTTATTTTTGAGCTCGAACTGTTGAAGGAATAAATCAATAACAATTCAAAGCTAAGGTGTTGTTTGTTTTTCTGAAGCAAAAAATTATGCAGACCACCTCTGCAATCCTTTGTACCAGAAGAGGTGGACCAAACGACTGCAAACTATAATAAGAAGCGTGCTTGTTTTTTAACATCTGCATACTGCTGCAGATATTAAAAAAATTAAAATAAACTGATTTTATATACCGAAAATAGTTTTTTAATATCGAAAATTTAATAATGTATTACATTTCAGCAAAAAAAATAATGATATTTCAGCAAAAAATAATGATATTTCAGCAAAATTATCATTATTTAATATAAAAAAACGAAAAAAATAATTCATCAAGAATAAACAAAAAAAATCGAAAAAAGAAATGTAAAACAAGAATTTAGCAAGATTTCAACAACATATAATCAATATTCATCAAGATTTCAATAAGAAAAAAGAAGAAGAGGTTAGAAAAAGATTGGAAGAGGCAATATAAGTGATGTCCCAAACAGAACACACGCATAAGTTTTTTATTCCGAAGACTTCTAAAAAACAAACAACTGCGAAATGAAAAGTGTTACACATATGTTGCGTCGCGCGACAATATGAGATCGGAAGAGCTTTTACATAAAACAAACAACACCTAAATCTCAAATCATACCATCAACGAGGGTAAAACGTAAAAAGTAAAAACAGAAAAAAAAATTCTAAGGTTGTTAATCACTTACGGTTCACAAAACTATACAAGAATATGACTATTCTCGATTGACCGTTGAGTAAGGAGACATGTCAACCCGTAAATGGGTAAATATAATAAAAAGTTGATTAAAATTTGACAATTTTCATTGAGTGGTTGGATCGGATCGGATCCCGATCTTATGATCACGATTCTAATCCTACGATCCAATTTGTCATCTTACAAATGAAACGATCCTATTGCGATCTGACATGGTTTTCATAAGTTGAAACGTAGGATCTTACGATATTACAATCAAGATCCCGATCTTAACAGTTTTGATAAGGGAAAATGACTTATTAAGGTAATTAAATTTTCGGTATGTTCACATCTGGATAACTATTTTTTTTTGTACACATCTAGGTAACAAACTTGTTGGAAGTGTTCACATATGACCATTATGACCTGCTGTAGCAGGTTACATCCTAGATGTGAACACTTTCAACAAGTTCGTTACCTAGATGTGTATAAAAAAAGTAGTTACCCAAATATGAACAAAACGAAAAGTAAGAGTAAATTACACGAATGGTCCCTGTGGTTTGGGGGAATTTGTGTTTTTGGTCCCTAACTTATTTTTTTAACTCGGATGGTCCCTACTGTTTATTTTTGTTGCACGTTTGGTCCCTGTATTACCTAAAAAGACTATTGTGCCCTTATTAATTTTTTTAATTAATTTTCTTATTTATGTATTTATTTTTTATATATTCAAAAAAATTAATAAACCCCACATATCTGTATCTCCTCACCGTAAACCTGAAACCACATTTGAGAAATTTAATTTGGGTCTCACCGGTCACCATCCTATATCTCATCCTCCTCAACTTCTATTTCTTTTCCATCTTTAGTGACATCGACGTCTTCACCATGCTTCTTTTTTTGGTCTTTCAACTCTGGCGAATCAACACCATAACCCACTGTCTCTTCATCTTTAGTGGGTTCACCGGGTTGTGGTGTTAATTCGACGGAGTTGAAGGACCGAAAAAAGAAGGGATGGTGAAGACGCCGATATCACTAAAGATGTAAAATAAATAGAAGTTGAGGAGGATGAGAGATATGATGGTGAGGAGATACAGATATGTAGGGTCTATTAATTTTTTAAAATATATAAAAAATAAATAAATAAATTAATTAATTAATTAAAAAAATTGTTTAATAAGGGTACAATAGTCATTTTAGGTAAGACAGAGACCAAACGCATAACAAAAATAAATAGTAGGGATCATCCGAGTTGAAAAAATAAATTAATTAAAAAATAAACAGTAAGGATCATCCGAGGAGATACAGATATGTGGGGTCTATTAATTTTTTTAAATATATAAAAAATAAATACATAAATAAGAAAATTAATTAAAAAATAAATTATAAGGGCACAATAGTCTTTTTAGGTAAGGCAGGGACCAAACGTGCAACAAAAATAAATAGTAGGGACCATCCATGTTTAAAAAAATAAGTTAGGGACCAAAAACACAAATTTCTCCAAACCACAGGGACCATTCGTGTAATTAATCTTACTTTTCGTTTTGTTCATATTTGGGTAATTATTTTTTTTGTACATGTAACGAACTTATCAAAAGTGTTCACATCTAGGATGTAACATGCTACAACGGGTAATAATGGTCATATGTGAACACTTCCAACAAGTTTGTTAGATAGTTACCTAAATGTCAACATACCAAAAAGTTAATTACCTTGATAAATCATTTTTCCGTTTTGATAAAAACAAATGGAAAGGGGATGACTTGACTTCAAAATGTGACTTCATCTATACAAAAGGAATGAATTAGGGCTTGTTTTTGTGATCGAAACCTTGCTAATTTAATATATTATGTATTAAGTCCGTTAAAATTTAAATGAAAGACTGTGGATTAGAATCGAAACTAAAGGGTGATGTTTTTACCATTAAGTCAATGCTTGTTTTTGTAACCATCATTTATAAATATGATAAATTTTGTCGTATTGATACATGTAATATTCTTAAAAATATACAAATATATTTACACGTAGTTATAAAAATAGTCATTTTGTGACATAGGAAATAATGTGTTTTTAAAAGGATAGGGACATTTTCTTCATTTTACACCTGTTTAACGGAGGCTCATTAAACGACTTAGAAATCATGTTTGCAAACGTCTTCAGATATGTCAAAAAATAAAAAGTTTGACTATAAATATAGACATGGATAAACCATAGGGACCAAAACTGTAATTTACTCTCTTAAAAAATGTATTTTTGCCCATTTCTATCCTCTGTTATATCCAGCCCACCTAAAACCCTTCGACTCGACCTTCGTAGTATCTCGTACTCTCAAAAAGGGTGAAAAACCCTGATTTCAGTTCCCTGGCTGTTTTGCCCTCTTCTCCTCAACGAAAATGGCAGCAGCTGCAACTAGATTCTTCTCTCTGTTTGAAAGCAACGCCACCGCGACCGCAGCCGCCGCAAACCTCTACCCGTTCCGTGCAATTCGATTACCCACTAAACTATTCTCTTCCCCAACCCTACGCTTCCGCCGCTACTCGTCTTCCCTCGCTTCCGTGATAGACAATGATACCACCACCACCGCGGCCATTGGTGAAACAATTGGAGACTCCCACCAACATCCGTGGCCGGAGTGGGTGACTTTTGTTGACCGTTTGAAGGCCAAAGGTTACTTTAAGAAAGAAAGTGGAACTGATGTTGCTGTCTATAAAGATATGAGCATTTTGAAGGAAGCTTGCCTCAGTTTTGGTCGTGATCGCTTCGACTTATTTAAGTAAGTAATCATTCTTCTGTTGGCTTGATTATCATCTGTCGTTGCTAATGAATGTTACTCAAATTAACAAGAAATAGATTACAAAAAAATGAAGCTTAATTATATATTTGATTCAATTGTAGGTCACTATCTATGCAAGACATTCAAACTCTTGTAGAAAAGGGTTGTCCTAATATCAACAGAAAGACTGTTAATTCAGGAAAACGATTGAGAGCCCATCTACAACTCGATGAAGGAGATGTATGTCAATTTCCCATAAACTTTCTTCAGTTTTAATCAACTTATACCCTTTTCATGGTCTTTTTTTTTCTTGGTTTAATAGGTTTGTGGTGTTTGCATCTTGAGAGGATCATGTGATAGGGCCTATTTGATTCTAAAAGACATTGAATCGGGTGCTCGAACTGTAGATATTGTGCGCATTTTGTTAAACTATGCACTTGATCCAGTTATTGATTCAAATAAGAAGCCTATAGGGGCAGAAGTCATTGAAGCATCTGCAAGAAAATTGCTTTTGGAGTTGACTGAACTTAGTGACACAGCCATTGATCATGAAGCCCAAAAGCCACCTGCAACAGTTGCTCGAAAGGCGCAAAATTTTGATTTTAAACAACGCGAATGGTCTAGAAATGTTGAAATGAAAAGAGGAGATTGGATGTGTCCCAAGTAAGTACTTATATTCAAAAAAAAAAAAAAATTGTGTACAAGGCAAATTGCAGAAAAGCCACTATATTTTGGGCGATTTTGCAGTTAACTATTTGCTAACTATTTTTTCTGTTCTCTCATTCTAAATTGTTGTGTACTTCAATTAATATTTTTGTAGGTGCAATTTCTTGAATTTTTCAAGGAATAAAAAGTGTCGCGAATGTAATGAAGATGGTCCTTTAAAACCTGGTCTTGATGAAGTTGAAATGAAAAAAGGAGATTGGAACTGTCCTCAGTAAGTTTGTAATTGCTTATATATATATATATATATATATATATATATATATATATATATATATATATATATATATATATATATATATATATATTTTAAGCAATTAACTCTCACTAAATCTAGATTATAAATGTATAAGTAAGTTACATGTTTGGTCCTTGGGTATAGCTGATTTTGTAATTTTGGTCCTAAAAAGTTTTCTCTTGCAATTTTGGTTCTTATTTAAAGTATCCTAAATGTTTGGTCCAATTCTCAAGTCAGATAAAGGGCAATATAGTCATTTTACTTGGGTCGAGGACCAAACTAGTCAGATAAAGGGCACTATGGTCATTTTACTTGGGACGTGGATGAAAATCGTTACGATAGTCCAAAGTAAGGACCAAAGTTGCATGAGTAGACCTTTTGGGACCAAAGTTGTAAAAGCCAGCTATACCAAGGGACCAAAAATGTAATTTAGGTTTTCAATTACTTGAATCTTGGTTTATTATTTCTAGTCAACTAAACAATTGTATCTATAATGACATAAATGCAGGTGCAATTTTATGAATTTTTCAAGAAACATTCGGTGTCTAAAATGCAAAACTGAGGGGCCTAAAAGGGTTGGAATTGATGATGTTGAAATGAAGAAAGGAGACTGGAATTGCCCACAGTAAGCCTATTAACATTATTATGCATTTTTTAATAAAAAAGTAAATACTTTATATGATGAAAATACTTTGGGATATTTTTTTAGGTGTCAGTTTATGAATTTTGCAAGCAACACAAAGTGTTTACGTTGCAGAGAGCAACGTCCCAAAAGGCAACTGAATTCTGGAGAGTGGGAGTGTCCTTCGTAAGTCTTTTTCTCAATTGAAAATGTCAAAATAGTGAAATACCCATTTTGCCCCTGTTCTCGAGGTGTAATGTATTGTTGATCGAATGTTGGTTAGGTGTGATTTCTTTAATTATGCGGGGAATGTTGTTTGTCGAAAGTGTAATGGTGAAAGGCCAAATAATGCAGAAGCTAAGTATGAAGAGCAGATGTGGAAAAAGCCTTCTTAATTTTGTTACTCTGGTAAGTAACTGAATATGGTTGTTTTGTTATATTTGGTCCTTGAGTGTAGCTGGTATTTTCAAATTGGTCACAACAAGTTTTCTCTTGCAATTTTGGTCTTTACGTTCTTGGTCCACTGTTCCAAGTAAATGATTATTTTTGGGACCAAAATTGCAAAAATAGCTATACCTAGGGACCAAAATGTAAAAATAGCTATACTTTGTTTTCTTATAGTTAATTGGTTGCTGTACATTGAATGGATCAATTGCACAGGGAGGGAATAAAGCTTACAACTTTACACAAACTTCGGTCAAGTCATATGAAATGAGATGTACAAATAGGCCTAAGCATAAGCACAAGATCGGTGCTTAGTTGGGCCTATTGGGCCTTGGAGCTTGGTTGTTTATGGAGCCTAACTGGGCTAATTGTTTTAGGATTTGTTTCTTTTTATTTCATTAAGCCTTGTATGGATAAATCATATCTATTAAGAAATGTTGCTGAATGGAGATTTATTTATTTGATTGCAATCCAACATAAAACAATCCAAAGTTTGATTAAGATGGCAAAAAACCGGTGGACTTGGGCCAAAGATTTTGTGGAAAAACTTGGAGGATATGGTTGAGTGTTTTAGGGATAGTGTGGCCATAGAGGCCAAAGCAAGGGTTGTCCATTATAGGAAAGCAAATCATCTATCCTGAAGATTTATAGCAAATCATATATCCTTATACCAAGGAGAATTCAACAGACATGTTAGCATAAGTTAAAACTTTGTATGATGTAGTATAGGGATGTCGTCTGGGTCGGAACCGGACCGAACCGACCCAAACCCGAATAACCTGAAAACCGAATAAGGGTAATTGCATGAATCGATAACCGTACCGATTACCGATTAACCATTGTGGGTCGACTCGGTTCGGGTATTAATCGGTTCGGTTCGGTTATTATCCGAATAACATTTACAAGATGATTAAGGACCTAATATAACCGAATTGAATAAACTGTATTAGGATTCTATAACCCGAATAACCCAAATAATAGAATAACAATGTGTTTTTATACATCAACATAAAACATTCAAAGACTAACATAACACAATAACACATTAAAAAAATAACATTTACGTAGTAGATTAACATACTGAGAATTAATTTCTTACTTGAGTTTCTTGAGTTGGAGCCTAATTTTCTATGGCTAGACAAAATAGGAATTCGTGAATCCTTAGAGACAATAGGAATGGTTGATTTTTGAAAGTTTGAAACAAGATGAAGGATCGACAAAAGTGATTTCAAGTTTGGAAATGGATGAGAAGATCGGTCGATTTTTGAAACGACGAGAACGAGCGTAGTTTTTTATTTTATTTTATTTTATGAACAACGATAACAGAAGTGTGAATTGTGATTTTGATTTCTGTCGGTCTGAGAAATGAGAGGAGAAAGGTTTATTCAGGTCGGGTATTTAGAACCGAATAAGCTCTTATTTGGGTAACCCGAACCAAATAACCCGAGAACCGAATAAACATAATATAGATACCCAAAACCCGAATCGAATTGCTTATTCGGGCCTAATTCGGTTCGGTTCAGTTTGGGTTTCGGTTCGGTTCGGGTTTCCAAGCAAAATTATCATCCCTAATGTAGTATATGTTGGCAAAAGTTACGTCCCTACATCTCAAATTGGCAGGAGGAAGTACCAAGTTTCTGGTTTATGAAGCTTGGAGTATATGCAAGTCAATGTGGATATTGTTAAATGTGACTTCAACATTGAAGACGTGTAAAACATTTGGAATCAAGATGGATCATTTGGCCAATGCAATGTAGGCATCAAAATGCATTGCGTTAGTGGCTCCTAAATGCGCCCCGATGGCTCTTGAATGCGCTCCAACAATTCCTAAATGTGCTAGTGGCCCCTGAAATATGTTTGCACTCTGGTTGCCCCTATGGATTAGCCGATCACTCTAATCGTGTGAACCAACATTAATTTCTTTGTGTTCTCTCTTCTTATGTTGTGTATTTATCCATTTTTGATTGTTGCATATAATTTTTGAACTTAAGAGGAAAACTTAAGGTACACATCCTCACTAGAGTTTGCTTTAAATGGGCACGATGATACTAATTGATTATATAATGGTTTGGGGTGAGTTGTGTGATGACGCTAAACGCGGATTTAGCTGTGTCCCAGTGTGGCACTGACAACACTTGTTTTTTCTGTCCATAGTGAAAAAAAATTCGATTTTTTTATCTATTTTTCATGTATCGGCACCACCTAATTAATTTCGGCAACAACTAGTCAACTACTATGTATTTCTGCGTTCGCCCCTGAACACGTTACAAATTTGTGTCGGGTTCAATACTCAGGGAAAGCTTTGTGAAAGACATAAATGTTGGTGCTAGCCTTGTGACCATGTTGTTTGATCTTAGGTAATAAAAGAAAAAAGTTGTCACAGATTCGAATCCTGCATGCTTCAATTCAACAATAGATGACGTGTCTTTCTAAAAAAAGCAAGTTACAAACACACAAAGATATTACAAACACTCAAACGTGGCACTTTTGAAAAAAAATATATATATTACAAAAACTATAATTGTCGGTGTTTCATCTTAAGAAATAGAATAACAATTTGCCTGAATAATTCAACACACACATTAATGACATACCAAAACTTGTATATAAGTATATGAAAAATGTCTTCAATTAATTCTCACGAATGATAATTTCAAACGTGGCACTTTTAGACCATTTGATGAGCTTCCATGTTGATCTCATCTTCCATGTCATTTAACCTCTTGTAGACACGGAAGTTAGATATCACATTAATGTTAGATATGTCACATTAATTCTCACGAATGATAATGAAGTTAGATATGTCACATTAATGAAATATGCATTTAACCTTTTGAAATACACAATTGCATTAATTGTAGAATGTCACGGAAAAAAGCTAGAACGAGGGTACATCACCCGATTTGAAAGTCAAAATGTATAAAATGAAAATGACTTTTTTAAACTCATCTGTCTAGTGTCTACTTCTTACACCCAATTAAGATGACACTTTTGTTAAGGAGAGAAAAGAAAGGGTATACCCAATTGAGATGACACTTTCTTGAAGTAGAGAAAAGAAAGTAAATGAAGGGTAGACCCAATTGAGATCGAGACTTAGCAATTGAGCGGATATAAAAATAAAATAAAAAATTGATGTTCTCCGTTTCATTAAAGGAAGTGGGGGAAAACAGAAACATCATTTTCTCTCCTATATTTATTTTAGATTTGGGAGGATTTGAAAATAAAGAACAAAATGATTAATTTTACTTCTACGTCTCTTAACTCGAAAACACAAAAGAAAAATTTTGTTTTCCTTTTATTTCTCTTCTTTTCTCTCTTGACTTTCTTTTCTTTTCTTTCCTTAAACTCAGGAACTAGGCAATTATGTCCTTGTTAAATAATATTTTATTTTATATATTATTTGAAACTTTATTTTGCATAATAATTATGATTTTCCTATTTTATATTTTTATGTATAATAAATTTATATAGGAGTATAATCTAATCCCAAATTTTACTGTCTTTTTTTATGTTTTTCATTTTCTAATTATATATAGAAGATCAGGTGAGGATTCTTTTTAAAGTAAGGATTCGTAAGCACACTTTAAAAAATTTGAAAAAAAATCTAAAAAAATCTAAATTATAAAATCGAACATAGTATTATATTCGGGAGAAAAAAAAATTGGAAATTTTTTTTGCATCATTAAAATTGAAGTATGGATCATTTTTATGATCCATGATTCAATTTTAATGATGCAAAAAAAAAAATTCCAATTTTTTTTCTCCTGGATATAGTATGATGCTCGATTTTATGATTTGTATTTTTTTAGATTTTTTTTCAATTTTTTAAGGTGTCTTCACGAGTCCTCACTTTAAAAAGAGTCTTCACTGGAATCGGACCCTATATATATATATATATATATATATATATATATATATATATATATATATATATATATATATATATATATATATGTGTGTGTGTGTGTGTGTGTGTGTGTGTGTGTGTTAACGTTACCTAACGGCCAAGATAAATGTAACAGAGACGTTACTGCCTTGGCTGAGACCCGGTCTTGGCCTCAGAGAGCCAAAGCCGGAGCGACAGCTCATTTCTCGTTACAAGGGAAGAACATCCCATGTGATCTTCTCATTCACCCACAACCAATGAGAAAGCTACAAATAGCCCGGGTGACGCCCATAACTGACGTCACCTGGCGGTTAGTTAGCATGAATAACTCTCCCAGTAAGAGGAGGCCGCGTATCACACTCACGAGAGACGGTCCCCACGATCCGTTAGTAACAGGTATAAAAGGATCTATTCCGTCTCAAGGGAGGGATCCATCTTCTTTCTCACGAAGATTACCCTAAGATTTCTCTCTCACTCTAGACTAACTTGATCGTCGGAGCGACGTCCCGGGAGAACACCCAGTCGTCCTCTAACGGTTCTTTTGTGATTGTGTTCTCAGGAAAGCTCCCAAAGCAGTTACATTATCAAGCATCCAAACTATCTGTGAACTTGTCACAACATTTGGCGCCATCCGGATGTATCCTCAGAGTGATACAAGTGTTGCTCTGTTCAGAACGCACGAACCACTCCAGGTGTCGATGACACAGATCCCGCCAATTACGATAAAAACAGCAGAACCAAGGCTCCAGAGCAATTTTCGGTAATTGTCATCAGATGTCTCATCACCTCAGATTATGATATTGTTGGATAAGGTGTCTAAGTCCATAACAATATTTGAGATGCACTTGACCCGACCCGGCATGGTCCATTTGGGTTGCACTTCACCCGAACAATTTGTATGGGTAATCTTTTGAGAATAGTATGTTTATGATTTATTAATATATTATAAGTTATAATATATTAATATGAAATCATATTATTTAATTAGTATTGATCATAAATTAATTTAGAATTAATTTGGTGATCAAAAGGTGACTAATTAAATATGGGCTCTTGTATTTATATAGTGTGGGCTAATGCTTATTTAGTATGGGCTAGGCTTGCATGGGAGTCCATGGATGGTCCATGGAGCTTTTAACCCATGGATCCTTAGAGAGGAAGAGTCATGGGTATTAGGGTTTACATGGATGTAACCCTAATCCTCCACACTATATAAATGAGTCTTTGGCACTTGATTTGACACTAGTTGTATGTGAACAAGAGTGGTGGCCGATTTCAAGAGTGTGCATTATTCTCTCAAGAGTTTTCCAAAGTTTGTGGTGATTTGTGATTTTCATTTGAGGCATCCACACTATTGGTGCTAGGCTCTCAAACTCCAAGCAATCAACCACTACTAAAAGGTATGTCATTCTACTAGTAATTTTATGATTCAAGTTCCCCATGCCATGCTAGTTACGATGTAAACCTTGGAAATTCTTATTTGCATGTATTTTAGAGAAAACATAGATCCAAGGTTTATAGGGTTGCATGTACACCATAGGAGTGTTAGAATGCTCAAAACCCAACAGTGGTATCAGAGCCTAGGCTTG